AACAATAGTCTCAACCAAAAAATATTCAGTTTACAGATAAAAACCACAAGTCAACACATTTAAAATACTGGAAGCTGTGACATTTACTAGCTCTTAATTGACTCTGAATCACAGAAAACAAAATCTTGCCTTTTTCTGGAGGAGGCAGTGGAAGATGAAGATGAACATCCCTTGCAGAGTGTTGAAGATGGTGAAGAGGTACGCCATCACGATGGAGGATTCGTTGAGGAAGAACAAGCCGAAGGACCAAGTGAGCCCCAGCAGACAAAGTAGGGCAAACGCTCCCAACACCCACGACCTGCGAGAGAAAGAGGAGGGATATTAACCAGTGAAGGAGAATCTGCTGGGGCGGAAGCTTTCTCTTCCTGGCCAACACCTTGTTAAAAATGAAGAAACACACTAATTTGCTTTAAATACAAAACTGTGTTGGTGAAGTGTATAAAAACAGATACAAAAGGTTTTGGATTAAAGTGCATTTGCGTTGAGAAATATTTCCTTGGGGTTAATGGCTAAAGAGACTGCAGAACAGCAGGTTTTCGCCTGGGCAGCTTCCAGGAACTAAGCCTCGTGGAAATAAGATAACTCAACAGTCAGTTTCGATGACAATGGCTGGTTGTTACTGATACACGAGAATGAAGTGAGCCGCCTCGAGAGAGAGAGACGGCGAGGAGAGAAGAAATGGGACAACAGCATGTCACCAAGAGAGGACACACAGAAAAATGAGCGGCAGGATTGAGAGTGACGGATGATTAGAGTCTCTCCTCAGTTTCTGTGTCACATTTCTTGTTTTTTTACAAGAAAACATTTTTAGGCTGAGTAACCAACTATTTCACTTTTTATAACATTTGACAGAATTAGGATTTGATGTAGAAACTAATTATCAGCAGTTAATGAATTTTGATGATTTATGATAATATGTAAAATCAAGCATGCGAATGCAAACAAATGTGGGTTTTTCTGTGAGCTAAAAACAAACCTGAAAGCCAAGTCCATGCCTTTTTTTTTCATTTATTTTTTTTTAGTTTGGACCAAAATCCTTGTGGCTGCCTAAAAATCAAACGCCCACAGAACATATGTTGGCCTGCTCTCAGACGCATTGTTGAAGAAGAATCCAGGCACAGACATGGTCAGGGACTCGTCTTTTTATCGAGCAAACACAGCCCACTGGAAGCGGGAAAATGGGGCCCCCTATATTCCTGTTTTTACCATCATTAAATCTACACGGCATGTGGTGGAATCCATCTTCCAAGAAAGCCTGTAAACGATGCCAGCACAGGAGTGAAAAGATACCAAAGGTCAGAAAGGCAGTTATGAGAAATAAAAATAAAACCATATAACCCTGGGTTGTGTAAATACTGACATCATAAAATGAGCTAAAAAGGCACCAACTATGGACCAAAGTTACACCTGAAGAGAAAAATATTGCTCTGGTCGGGTTTAAGAGAAAATCAAATAAACGTGTAGGTCCAAAGCAGCCATTGAAATCTCTGGAAGGAGGCAAAAGCAGTAATGGTGCATATTATTTTTCTTTTCACACATACGCAACCACCACACACACAGACACGCACACGCACACACACACACACACACACACGCACACACACACACACACAGATCCAGCAACCACAGAGCAGACATCTAATCTCCCGGAGTGACACCCCTCACCTGATACCTCCCAGCCTGGACGAGTCGGGTTTCATGGAGGTGGAGTGCTTCACCATCTTGTACATGGTCACCACCAGGAAGATGACATTGACCTGTCAAAACAGACGCGAATCAGGATTAACAGACTGCACTTAGAAAGGAATCTGATTTCTGCTGCTAACAGGAGCTAGAAAAAACATGCAGACCCTTTACTTGGATAAATAAAGCCACACTTTGAAAACGAAGTTAAAAAATCCAGGATTAGGAATTTTACTGCAACTGAAATTGATGTAGTCGATTGAAGCTCAGTTTTTTGTCCTAATCGATGAATCTTAGATTTTTTTCAATTTAACCCTCACAATGCTGTTTTTGTGTCAAACCATTAGGTTCAATTCTTTACTTTGAAGAAGACAGAACCAACAAAAAAATAAATAAAAATAAAAATCAGGATCTTGTGAATTAAATGTGGTTTCATAAGGACACTGTTGAAGCTGAGGTATGCATTCTACTGAGTGTCATTCTCATTTGTAAAGTAAAAAGCGCCGTCAAAAGGAGTGTGAAGTGCAGTGGTTCACTTTGAAATATTTTGGCTTTAAAAGAAAATGAGGTTAAGAGAAAGTACCTACAATTTGAACATGTGTAAAATCTATTTTCACCTCTGGTTGCTAACAAACAGTTGGTATGTTTCATAGTGACATGTGAGTATTGCTTAATCCACAGTGGTTTTGGCTCTTTATAGCATCAACACCAGCATACCTTTACTGAGAGGAATATGAAAATGTATTGCTTTGGTGCAGATCATAAAACACGCTGACTTCCAAAAAGAAAAACAACCGTGAGAGGTTATTGCTGTGGTCTACTTCACACAGCTCTGGCCTTCAACACAAGCTGCGCAGAATGTTTCTCTTTCCTCTCTCTTGTTTGACATTACGCTCCATCCCAAAGTACAAATTCTCATCGAATATGAGAATGTATATCTCTCTACGTCCAAACCGATCGTAGACGAAAAAGGCTCCAGAAAAACACAGAGGAAAGAGCGAAGCTGAGTGCCATATTTTAGAAAATAATTTTACAGAGGCCAGGAAAAACATTTAAGTGAGCCGAGCCATACATCCAGAGAGGTTTCCATGCTCTCAGGATGTCTCGCTGTAAGCACGGCAGGGTTCGTCGCCACCAAGGGAAAGGAAGGAGATGTGTTTCAGTTCGGTCCAGCACTACATTAAACCTTTCAAACGCAGCTCTGTAAATATTCACTGAATTAAGTATATCCAGATTTTCAAAAACATATATTCTGTTTCTGCTCCAAGTGAGCATTTGGTAGGGTCCTTTTAATCCAAAGTACATGAAGGAAAATAAAAGATGAAAAGTCTGACTTGGCAAGAAAATGAAGCATAATAATCTAGATGTAGTGTCCTCACTTTATCAGGCACTTCATTTTTAACTCACTCACAAATAAGCCGAAAGATCCCCCATTATTACCCAACATGGATGGATGTGAACAGAGAAGTGTCTTTAAATGGAAACAAAGAGCGTGAGAGGAAAGCAGAAGGAAACCAACGACAGCAGCGGGGAAAGATGGAAGAAAAAGGAGTGGCTAAGAAGACAGAAAGAGGCTTTTAGATCACAGCTTAGAGTAATGCCAAGTTTTGTCTCTCAGCCACTGGGGCCGATTTACGTCCGCATGAGTCGAGTGGCTGGAGATGCATTTAACACAGCTGCGAGTGATGACACAGATCCGATGAGACAGACAGAGGGACGGACGGCGAGGCGAGGAGGCAGGGAGGCACTCTGCAGAAAGCAAGAGGCAAACCGCATATGCCCCCCCAACCCGTCATGCCCGGTCTCGAAGGGGCCGTCCTCTACAATATTCAGGTCTCTCACTCCGCTGCCAAATACGGCGCAAGAAAACTCGCAGCGCTGACACAGCACCTCTCCAGGTTTTGCATGTATTTACAGCTCATGGACAGATTTACGTGTGTTACTGTTCGCAGCTGTATGGATATGCAGTGTGTGTTTGTACAGGGCTGTGTGCATGCATTCTGGCACGTGTTGTGTGTGTGTGTGTATGTCAATGTGCATTGTGAACACCCAGCGCACCACATGAAATATTAAAAGGTGAAGATGGAGATGTCCGTGTGCTGGGATTGGCTGGGGACGTGTCATGATCCTCAGCAGGGCTATGAGCTGTGGTAATGGTTGTCTGGCCCACCCACTCATTACTTCCATGTTCACCCCCCCTCACCATCACCCTTGTATTCCCACTGAGCAAATGACCTTCATGCCTGAGATGATCTCTCCTCCTGATTGCAGGAGGGGAGTATTATCTAGATGTACAGCAAGGCCCAAACAGCTTTAAGCTGTTGCCGCTCACCAATTCTGATTTCAGAGGATTTCATAGCTGAGTGGACACTGATGTCCTTCTGTCAGCTATAATGGGACCACTTTCCTTTCATGCAAATTGATCTTAGAAATCAGAGCCAAGAGGCTGCCAGCACAAAGAGAGAAAATCTATAAACTGTTTTCAAAGCTTTTCATTGAAAGGGATAAAGAAAAAAACTATATCACACATGCACAAAATTACAACTTACCACAATTATGAAGGTCACGGGCCCAATGAAGCTCCAGATGAAATGGTTATCAACCCTCAACCAGCATCTATAGGGAGCAGAAGGTGATATTCAGTCCATTAAATCATCTCACTGCCAAAACAGACTTGTGTCTCATCGATCAGGTGCAGCAGAGCCGGCTGGATGATAGGTCACAGCAGCAGAATAGAGACTCGTCTGACCACAGAGAAGAAAACCCGACCTTGACAGAGCGTTGGCCTCATGCCATGAGAAGCTGCAGTCGGAAAGGCAGTGGTTGTCGGACTCATGACTTCACAGTCTGCAAATGCTTACAAATGTGTGATGCCTGACTGTGTGTACCTAAGACTCTGAACTGTAAACAGTGTATTGTATACAGTTCACAAAATGAATTGCAACCCTGGTCTGTGTTTATCACCAGGAAACAGAAATGAAGTGAGGACCATAGGAATAAAATGAAGTTAGAAAAAAGTTACTTAAATCCCATAAATTAGAGGATTGCAGTCTTACAAATCATAAAGCTTGCTGCTTGGATGAAGACCAGCAGAGAAGTGCATAAACTTTTAACTAGCAATTATCCACTTGGAAAGAATAAAAATTCAGCAGGCCAGTGCATCTAGCCAGCATAGTCATTAATGTTGCAGCTTTGCTCACATCCACTTTTTTTTTTTATCAGTGACAGGGTGTAAATGTTCCAGGGGCAGAGGTGGATTACTCTTTGTGATATCACTATCATTAGAACACACATGCAAGCTGTGTGGGTGTGTCATGATGGGGAGAGGGGAGGATTAATGCCCCTGATTTTTCTTTCATCCCACAAAAGAAGAGCCTCTAGCAGAGATGCTATACTTACGCCCGCTGTGTGCCGTAGCTTCTGTAGTCAATGGCTGCTGAGATGCCCACCACCACAGCCGGGATGAGGTACCCGGAGACGTAGTAGTACTTCCTGCGAGAGAACTCGCTCTCGAACACCTCCACCAGCATGAGGTACAGCTGCACGCCCTCCAGACACATCCAGGCGAACGCAGCCAGGAAGCAGAAGTGGAGAATGCCAGCGATGATGGAGCAAACCAGCTGACAGTGAAACACACGCAGAGGTTACACACAAACATAAGCAGTTTGATTTTTACCAGTTACCAATAATGAATTTTTTACTGCTTGCTAATGGTTTAAAAGTTCAATGACCATGACATAAGCAAAGTCAGATGAGAGTATTTGTGTGATGAAGCAGTGGCTCTGCTTACAGCTGCTCTAATCAATATTTGAATATCAACAAAGGATCAAGTGACCTCTTGTAATATGAAAAGGGCTGTTTGAGATTCTGAGCATCCTTCAGCTCAGTATTTTGGTTTGACGACTTTATTGATCCGGTTTTATGGCACAGCAGGTTGCTGCTTTTGTAAATTAAAATAAACCTTTGATAAACTCGCCGTTTACTACCTGCTCAAGACAAAACAGCAGAGAGACCAGCTTGTGTAAAGAGAGCATCATTTAGCAGCTTGAGAGCCAAAAGATTTCTCACAAGAGTTGGTAGAGACAAAAATGGAGCTAAAACATGGATGGATAATGGTTTTACATTCAGTGGGTTGATGAAAATACAGCTTTCAATGAATGCCAGTGTTGCTATCTTTCTGCTGGGAGTGCAAATAAGTAAAATTATATTATTATTATTATATTTAAATATTAACAATGTAAGGTGATAGAAGAACATTTATATCTTATTATAGCCCAAACAACTTTTGTTTGTAAAATACTAGTATGAAGATATCATAAATGTTGCTGATCCCCCAAATATTCAGTAAACTGGTCTAAAAAATATGAACATAGTAAAAACGTCCCAGTTTCCCAAAGAAATACCCTTTTGGGTCCACTCATAAAATGCTCAATTTCCGTTCAAAATGTATTATTCCGTTTAAGTGAGATCCCAAAGTTTCCAAAGGCACAAATGATGTAGGAGAAGTGTGTCTAAAAATCATGCATAGAATATTTGTATTTGATAAAATGGTGCAGTCATAAAAAAACCCATCATCCTGAGTTTGAATATTTTACTCAGTATCATCGTCATATATCTTCGTGTTCACAGGCTGAAACAGAGAAGATTGGTGATTTAAGGCCATTAAAGGCAAACTGAAGGAGAAATTCAAGCATTTAAAGGTTAATCACAGCGGACGAGCCCATTCGTCAGCAGCATGAAATTTAAAACCCCCTGCGGTGTGATTTCCATGGTACCTTTGGTTCCGTCATGTTGATGCCCACGAGGAAGATAAGCTCGCCGATGAAGAGGTTCAGGCAGAGGTTTTTGTGGATGGTGTTGCGGTCACTTTGAAGACCACGGAAGAAGCAGAAGGTGAAGAGGCTGATGGCGAGACAGACGAGAGACACGGCGATGCCCATCCGAGTGATGACGGTGAGAAGCAGTTCGTGGACGCTCCCCTCCCCCTGCACAGAAACACACATCCAGGGAGTGACCTTCAACTCCACACTTCTCTTCATGATCAGCGGCATTAAAGCAGATGATGGATGGAATGGAAATTGGTGGTGCTATTATTGCTTCTTACACATATATGTATTACTGTTAATATTATCATTATAACGTGTATGACAGTGGTTGCTTGAATAAGCTTTTTATCTCCTCTCTCCCCCATCTCCCCAATTTCTCTCCTCTCGACTTAACCAGTCGAGTCAGACGGCCGCCCACCCTGAGTCGAGCTCAGTTGAAAGGTTTCTTCCTGTTGAAAGGCAGGTTTTTTCCTCTACATTGTCTCGTACCAGCTAAGTGGTCGCTCCTGGTGGGAACTGTTTCCCTCTATAATCTTGTAAGGTCCTGACCTTTACTCTGTATTGTGCCTCGAGATTATATATGTTATGATTTGGTGCTATATAAAGAAAACTGGACTGAATTAAGTTGAACGCTGACCTGACTGAAACGCTCATATGCACATTTGTACTTACACAGAATATCTTTCAAGCTGTTGAAATAGGGTCATAATTTATTATATGGTATACACTACGAACAATGACAAGCTTAATGCAATCTTAGTGTGAGAATCAGGGAGGAGAAGCCCACAGTCATTTTGAGCACAATTACAGCTGAAGCTAAGATGAAGCTTTAGTAACTTTAAAAAGTAAAATCAAGAAGCTCTATTTTTAGGGCTAAAGTCTTTGAGGTATGAAATTCCCTCTCTGTGAGGGTGACAGGATTATAATTAAAAGAGACATTTTTAAACAAAGGAGACTGTAACTTTGAAAGACAACATTTTCATCTGGCTAAACTACAGAGGCTTCATATTAGCTTCAGCTCAATCTCGGAGTCTGCTCTCCACGCAGATTGTTTACCTGCGGGCAACCCAGGCCTGCTCAAATATGATTGGCCAGACCTGAAACGGCTAGCAGAAGGCTTCTGGCCCCAAAATCGTATCCCTCACCAACAAATAAACTTAACGTTATGGTGTAGTTTTTGCATAGAAAAAAGTGGTGGATTCTGTCCCTCATCACTTACAATGAAAACACATGAGAAAGGGATCTCTTCATACTTAGAGTGAGCAAAATCTGTTTTAGTGTTCAAACAGGCACCTGACAGCTGATTTAAGACAGACGTGAAAAATTGTGCGTCTGTTCTTTAACTTGATCATACGTGATGACATCTGGCACTCCCAGCTAACATGCTTGGATCACACTACAACGCCCATGTTGCAGAAAGTGACATCAGTGACGTCCACATGTGGGTTCTGCTATTTAAGGTCAATTCCTGCTGTGCTGCAGAAGATCTAAAACTGAGCACGTTTCAAGATGGGCACCAGGCAAATGTGGAAAAAAAGCAGACTTGACCATAAAAAATATCGTTCAACGACATGGTGGCCCGAAAGTGAGGCAATTCTTCCTGTGATATTTGTAATTTTATTGAGGGCAGGAGTTGCATTTGAGGTGATGTGCAGGGAATTGGTGTGAGATTAAGCCCGGCCTCAGGGCTCTGGTTTCAAGCTGTGGTTAAGGTTGAGGTTAAAACAGATGACAGGGACAGAGTTCATGAGTTGGGACGTATTATTACACAAACCACAAACTTATCCTCCACATTTATTACTGGCTGGGTCCATGTTCCACATGCTATTTATCATGTAATTGGATTATAATTGCATTGCACGACCAAATGGTTCCTACACCACATCAAGAGTGGGGAAAACAAAAGTTAAAACTGGGGTTCTGCAGTAATATTTCCCATGATTCTCAGGGACATATGCATGGAAGGATATTAGACAAGGACCACAGGTAAAATATAATTACCTCTGATGATGGGATGGTGCTTCCTGTACTGATGCACAATCTCGCTCTTTTAAAGTGACAGCCTGCTTCTCCACCTCACACACTCCTACCCCCACCCTCACCTTCTTCTCCGGCAATAATCTAATTATCTCCACTGAAATGCCATTCTTGTTCTGGCCGTGTGTGCACAAATCTGTCAGCGAGATGGAAGAAGAGCAACTAACTGAGACGGGAGGGGGGAAAAAAAACCCTCTTGTAACCAAGAGGCGAGGGCCACTCACCACGTTCCCTCGATGGGCCATGAGGATGGCGAAGTTGGTCAAGTGACTGCAGGAGCAAGTGGTGTGGCTCTTGTTGGTTTCCAGCAGTTTACAGCCTTGCGTGGACCAATATCCCATCATGCTCCGCTCTGAGTAATTCCAGAAGGAACAGTTGGGATTGTAGTAGTGCTCCTTCTACAAAACACAAACACAGAGAAAAAAAACATGAAACATACATGAACATGCTCTGAAATATGCATGATGGTACACAAACATACCTTGTATATTTCATATCTCTAACTGTAAGTCACCGCATGTCAATATATGTGTTGTGCGCACTCAATACCAGTGTCTGTGCAATTGAAATTCTTGAGACGCAATGGATTGTCAGGAGAAAAGGGATGAAAGAGATCAAAATAAAATAAAATAAATTGGAATCACAACAGTCAATTTTTGAGAGGGATTACTGTGGTGATTTCAAAGCACGAAAGGAAACACAACACACTAGAAGCTCCACTTACTTCTCCAACTCTATATTAGTATTAATCTCCGACAATGACACACATGGATAATATGGATGCATAATATGGATGTTCTCTCTACAACAATAACACATTAAAAGCTCTGTGTAAATGTTTAATTGTAGCTCTATAGTGCAATAGCTCTGGGGGAGTCTCAGGAGGGGGCTTACATCCAGGTGCTCCAGCGTGAAGATCACGGGGTCGGCCACAAACACGCGGCTGGACTCCTTGGTGATGGAGGCTGAAAGGATGTGGGAGTTGACGGTGAGGGAAAGGTTGCGTTTGCTCAGATCCCCCATTCCCCTCAGCGTGGCGTTCTCTGTGCTGAGGAATTGACCCAGGTGTTTGTAGAGCACAAACACCAGCTTGGCCACACCTGCAATCGGCAATATTAAAGTTATTAGACCCACAGGGTTCAGTGCTCATTCGGTGGTATTATACAAATGAAACAAACATTAATGGGCTAATTGCAGCCTCTGCATCTGAGACCTAAGCTGTAACTAGAATTGCATTCATTAGCGCTCATACCGCTGCCAAGACCTAATACTCACATTAAATTCAATCAAGCTGCACAATTTCACACACTCATATTGTAGATATCGGTCCTTTAAATGTGACTTTTTTTCCCCACTAAGATCCATGAATTATTCTCTTGGATATCGGTGAAAAAAAAAAAAGCTGTCTCAACGTTAAAGAAAGTGAAAAAACATTCCTACATTTGCCCCCCGATCAGCATAAAAACTGAACGGCTTCTTCCCTGACCCATACCACATCCTTCAACCAAGTTTCATGGTATTCCGTCCAGTCGTTTTTTGTAAAGCTGTTAAATAACAGGCAAACAAATGCTGATGAAAACATGAGAGAAGTGTCTCTCTCCCAGTGAACACAGAGGGCAGCTTTGAGCAAAATCCAAACCATGAGTTTGAAGGAAATTCCTTCCGTGCACACAAACAGGATTGTGTCGAGGTACATATCTGGGGAAGGCTACAAATAACTTCAGTTGCACTGAAGGTTTCTAGGAACACAGTGGGATCCATAATTCTTAAATTGAAACAGTCTGGAACAAACAGGACTTTTCCAAGAGCTAGCGTGCCTTCCTAAGAGAGGTGACTAAGAACCAAGAGGTCACTGTGACTGAGCTCCAGAGATCCTGTGAGGCTGCAGCACTCCACCGATCTGGGCTTTATATGGCCAGACGGAAGCTTCTCCTCAGTGAGGTTCACATGAAAGTCTGCTTGGAATTGGCAGAAAAGCATCTTAAGGACTCTCTGTGACTCTCAGGCAGTGAGAAACAAGATTGCCTGGTCTGATGAAACCAAGATTGAACTGTTTGGCCTCAATTCTTAGCGCCATGTCTGGAGGAAACTAGGCACAGCTAATCACCTGCCGCATCATCACATCATCGTGCTGTGGGGGTGTTTTTCAGAGGAAAGGAGAAGAGACGAGGTTAGGGTTGAGGAAAAGCTGAACGGAGAAAAGCACAGAGATATCCTTAATGAAAACCTCAGGACCTTAGACTGGGCTAAAAGTTCACCTTCAAACAGGACAATGACCCTGAGCACACAGCTGAGACAACGCAGAGGCTTAGGAAAACTCTGTGAATGTCCTGGAGTGGCCCTGCTGAAGCCCGACTTGAACTCAATCAAACATCTCAGCAGAGAAGTAAAAATGGCTGTCCACTGATCGTCCCCACCCGACCCGACAGATCAAGAGGATCTGCAGAGAAGAATGGCAGAAAATCTCCAAATCCGGGTGTGCAAAGCTGCTCGCATCATACCAAAGAAGACTGGAGGCTATAATTGCTGCCAAATGTGCTTTAACTGAGGACAGAGTAAAGGGTCTGAATACTTATGTCAGAGGGATATTTCAATTTTATTTCTTTTCAATAAATCTGCAAAAAGAATGCAAAAAAATTTGCTTTGTAATTAACAGGTATTGACTGCAGATTGATACTGTAAAAATAAATTTGAACCATTTTGGCAGAAGGATGCATCATAACTAAATTTGAAGGGATCAGAACATTTTCTAAATATACTGTAAACAGACAAGGATTTTTAACAATATGTTAATTGTATTTATTATTAACCTTCAGAGAGTGTTGAGCCTATTGAACTAAGCTAATTACCGCTCCCCTTAAAGGTCCAGTGTGTAAGATTTAGGTGAAAGGGAACTATTGGCAGAACTTAAATGTAGAATAATTTCATCTAAATTGTATGAATTGTAGTTTTCTTTACACCAGAAAAGACCCTTTATATTTAAATACTTTATATTTACATCGAGGGGACCCTCTCTACAGAGGTCGCCATGTTTTTTACATGAGTCCAGACTGAATAAACTAAACACCTTTTGAGTTTTTATGACAATAAAAGGCTACCACAGGTTATTTTTCATGTTTGGAAGGAGAAGGTGAGGTTCAGCTGCAACATGCGATTTCAACACTAGATATCACAAAATTCGACACACTGTACCTTTAAGCTCTAAACTTAAAGCACACTTTTGTGAGTGGTAATTTTCAAGTAATCAAGAAAGTGAATTTCACAAAATGTCATATTATTCTTTGAGAAACATCTAATTAAAATGCTCCCAGGAAGAAGCTAAAACAATTAGTAAACTCAACATCCACCAAAATATGAATATAACATCAGTGTCAATAACCCCAACAAACCAAAGAGGTAAAAAAAAATCCCAAATTAACTTTAATTACATGTGTTTGCAGCAGTTGTGTGGTTCTCACCATTTTTGCTGTTGACTTTGACCGTGTTGGAGGAAATCTGAAGAGACGCTCCACCTTTGCTCGTCTGTGGAAACCTGAAATCTTGCACTTGACCGTCGGTACTTAACACGTACACTTCCAACACTGAGAGGTGGAAGGTGAGGCGGAGAGAGGGAGGGAGAGATACAGAGATACAGAGAGATGTTACACATAGGCAACACTTCAAAAGTACTACATGGTGTTTAACACAACTCTGAATTTTAAGACCTGGTGGGGTGTGTGTGTGTGGTAATATTTGGTGTTTGTTGCACCAGAAACAGAATCCAGCATTACTGGCCCCTGTGAAGTGTCATTCACTTAAAAAACCATGTCATGCTGGTTGGTTGCCATTGTGGATGCCTCTGAGGCAAAAGAAAGAGAAGAAAATAATAAGGGTGGCGATACTGGATGAGCAAAAGCAGGCGCGAAGCTTACTGCAGCATGAATGTCAAATATTCACAGGATCAAAAATATCATTGAGCTTTTACTTTTACTTTTTCTTCCCCCCGTGGGTTCAGATAACTCTTGGCTCGACAAGCAAATCTCTGAAAATCCTCCAAATTCCTGCAGCCACTCTCCCCGGTATGCCAGCTGCCGGGTGGTGCTCCCTTTGATGTGTGAAATTACTGAGGGGTCAGGAGGACACACGTATCAGCACACTCCCTCCCATCAGAAACAGCCTCACTTCCTCAGATAGATGGCTTCTGACAGACGGAGACGTGGAATTGTTCTCCGGTTGCGCTCCACCTCTGCTGAGTTTTCAGCTCTTCCTTTGCGCTTCCTCCCTCTTCACCCGTCGTTCACCCCTTGATGCTCGCCTGGAGGTGCCATTTGGGCTTTGACAAACTGCTAATTAGGAGCAACAATCATTTTCACGCCCCCCCAAAACTCTTCAAGGGAGGGCAGGTAAGCCGAGGTTGTGTGTTTCTTCATATAACTGCATTTATGTTGCTCCACTGGAATATTATCTCTACTGTGCAGATAAGCAAGAGCTCATAAAAGTGTCTGCCTGAATGCAGTGATTAAGTAGCAAATATACAGCATATTACACAATATATTAATCAGTGCTTTTCTTTGAGACGGGGCAACTAGTACTTATCAGCTTAGCTAACTACCACTTAATGGGAAAGGCTTGGAGAGAACAGAGTGCTGCGTGAATGGGACAATGCCATTCAGTTGGGCTCTTTGTTTTCCCCCAGAAGGGCTGGACACTTCATCTTGCAGCGCACTTTCAATGAGGTGACTTTACTATGCGAGAAAAAGATTAAAAATCAATGAGGTATAAGACAAAAGGGTGAGTGGGAGACTATAACCATGGTAACAAAGTGTTATGAGAATGTGAAAATTCAGTGCACAAAGCTGACTAAAATTGTTGAGATTGTGTTGCCTGATAAACTGCACAGTGAGGGCACATTCGCTTGATTCTTTTAAGACGCATATTTAGCTATGATGTCAACCAGATGTGGCCGTTTTTAAATTATATTCCTCTAAAGGAGACGTTTTCCAGATCTGGGGAAACATTTTTTATCACTCAGTTTGAAACAATTTTACTGATTCGTGGTCCACAGCCAGGAAAAACAACATCATAAATTGTGACTGACAGATATGTTTATCTGTTTTATAGCTATCTGAGAGGAACTTACTGATATTCTCTGCAGGTACTTTTACGATCGCTGGCTCGATCAGGTTTTCCGCAAGGACAAAGGCCCCTTCCTCCAGGGTATCCAGTAGCATTGTAGCGGCGTGCGTCTGTTCCGTTGAATTCATGTCTTTCCAGGATTTCAGGGCTTCCGGCCTCAGGAGGTTGTCAACGGTGTCCACAATGGCCTGTATCCATGGAGACAAGTGAAGTGTCAGTGTGTCGTTTCCTCCCATTAGAACTTCAGTTTGACAACAAAGTGCGGGGACTAGGCAGCAAATGATAGCACGGGCATGCATGGCCAACAGTGACGGCAGCAACAGCAACTGAATCTGAAATATTGAGATCACTGCGAATGATGACATGAGGGTTCAAGGATGTCATGAGTAACTAAATTAAAAATGATGATACAAAATGCAGAATGTACATTTTAATATTCTGTTTATGAAAATCTGAGGAAGTCTCTCTTGGACCATTTTCTTTATTGAATAATGATCTAAAACTGCTTGAGGGGAAAAAGAAATACAAACCAAATGTTTTTTCTTTTTCCCTTTACCGAAGAAGGCTGTCTGCATTGCTGTATTCACAAATTGAGCGGCTATTTTCCAACATATAACAATTATCTCCATGAAGAACAGTCTCATTTCCATGACCGGATCTCCACTTAATGGCCTTGAATACGATTCTCATGGAGGCAAAGGGGGAATCATTATGGAATCCATGTCCTGAGTGGTAGTCTAGATTTGGGGGGAACAGGGGGTTTCTGTTTGTTTTCAGAGGCAATCCTTTCATTTCCTGCTTTCAGATAAGAAGTAAGTAAGTCAAACATTCCAGAAAACCCACACAAGTATCGTATGTTGATAAAACAAGAGTTCCCCCTTGACCCCGGCAGGGCGAGTTCATGACCGTTTGGCACAATTAAGCCACAACAAAATTTGCCAAAATCCCACGACAGGCAGACAGCTGTACAAAGATGCAGAGCGGCCCTTGGTGTGACAAATCAGACTGACAATTTAACCATAGGTGTCATTAACCACCACAAGGCCACCACAATAACTGTAATTAACCACAACAAGCCCCTGCTCACTGTACCAATTAGTCGCAGCTATGATTATCCCATCACTAATTGACCACGGACAGGATTATCCGTTTGCCTAGAAAAACAAGAAAGGGGATCAACAAAAGTCTGCAGCAATATGTGATTAACTGCAACATTTAACCACTGAGCTCACATTAACCACAGCGATGATGACACAGGGCTCTCAGCGTGTCTTCATATCTCCGGACTGTGCACAGAAATCTAACTTTGTGCCCCTGACCTTGCAGGCAAACTAGAAGCTTGTAAGCTGTGACTCCAATGGGATTTATATGTGTATGTGTGTGTGTGTGTGTGTGTGTGAGTATGCAGGATAGAGAGTGGTGGCGATTACAAGACCAGGGTCATTATAACCACACATGGTGTTCCTCTCCTGGTGAGCCATCCTCAAAGGATCCATGAAATCCAAAGGAGGAAGAGAAGGGCTGGAAGTCTCTTCTTTGTGCACAGAATGAATCTGTGTTCTCAATGAATCCTCTTTAATGCTCGCCTGGGTGGAGGTCACTTTACAAATCACAGGGGCACTAGCAAGAAGAGGACCCGTGACTCACTTTACATAGAGGGATGTTTCGTGCAGTGAAAGCTCGGGGGGGCACAGGGTGACATTAGAGGAAAAATCAGAGGAGCGCCAAAGTCTTTAGGATTCATCCTCTGGAAAGCACGAATGTCTGCACCAAGGTTCACAGCAATCCATCTAATGTCTGTTGAGAGACATGAGACATCTCCTCCTGACTCTTCCCTTCATGTCTTTCATCATGTCTTCAGAATCAGAATGGTGGACAAATATATTAATGGGCTGAGAAATTAATCCCACAGATAAAACACAACTGCAATGGAAGAGGAGATTTTCTCCCCTGCTATGGGGACAAGGGAGACTAAAAATTGTACGATGTAAGCAAGTGAAAATTGAGCACACTGCCACTTTGATCACACTTCTGGCTGACAGGGAGGTGCAATTACAACCGTGGGAAGGCAATTATTCACACAACGTATAAAGAGCTGACAAGAGAGACGAAGAGAGCGAGAAAAAGTGGGGGAGGAAGAAAGAAAGGAGAGAGAGAAATGAAAGAGAGATATAAGTGATAGCACACAGAGGAGGAGGGGAGGGGATGGGACAAAGACGGAGTGATTTTGACGGCGGCAACCCTCAGATGGACAGAATGACAGGAGGACAGACAGCCGAGTCAGATGAAGAAGCAGCCATATCTTGTACGAGCAGGATCACCAGGCACATACTGTAACAAAACAATCAAGGACATTGAGAGTGACAGTGCTGCATGCTGCTGGTCGGACATTAGGGATCGGGGAACAAAAAGCAACATGGAAAGCCTGGTAGTTATACCTTCATGTAAGCCCTGCACGTCTTCTCTCGTTTTTGAAGCTTTTCCATACAACAAGAGAGGATCGAGCACAGAGACAGATTGCAGAGAGGCAGTAAGAAAACAGGGAGCATTAAATCATACTACTTACCATAAAATTACAGATTTTATGAAAAAGAAGAAAAGCAGCAGGTCTGTGGACTACAACCTTAAAATGATGTGACAGCTCTTAATGCTTTTTGGGAGGAACTGTAGTTGAAATCTAAAAACTAATGTGAATCACATAATAGAGAAGGAGAGAGGAAAAATGCACAGAGGAGCCGAGGGAGAAAAAAGATGCTGAGACTCAATTCTGATGCTCCCCATTAGTGATGCTTTACAATATGTTGATAAGATAAGCAATGTGAGATGAGGTCATTTGTATTTCATGGCATGGATAGAATAATGTAGTACTAGCTCTTTTTTAAAAATCTCCCTCTGTCGGTCTCTTGGTATTAAATAAGTCGCCTTATTCTCCTAATTGAGACAAACCGGAGAAAATCACATTCTCTAGCTCTCCAACCGAGTAAGAAAACAAACAGATACAATGTTATTTTTATCCAGGTTACAACCTCCACATCGCAAATACCTCAAGAAAACACACAGAGGGAAAAAAAATGTTTCTTTAACCCAGTCAATATAGATCCCATGGACACCTCAATTTGGATTGCGGGAAATGGCTGCATGAAACTTTAACGACCATACCAATGTTTTTTAGCTCCTTAAATACAAATCTAGTTTTCAAATTGAGGCTTTAGTTTTTAAAATGTAAATTTTCCCTTGTTTTAGGCCCCCATTGGATTTTATTTATTTCCATAAAGCATGAAAGTAATTTGAGCTGTCTAACCCTTTGCATTTTCATGAGCATTAAGTTGTCTTTCTGCAGCAGACTGATTTTCTTCTTCATCTAAACGAGAAACCGGGTTGAGCAGGTAATTAAAAAAAAACAGATTTCCTGATTTGGACCATATCCATTCTACTATTTTTTGTTTGAAAATCTTGCTTCTCTGCTACAGATAATCCTGGCGTCCATACTACTGGTCTAAGAGCCGTTAAAAAGTTTTTGAGACGCTGGTGGCTATTCATCGAGTAAATCCTGCGTACACTGGCATGTGCAAGCCTTCCTGTGTCTTCAGGTGTGTTAGTATGGACAGGGATTAAAACTGGTATGAAGCTAAAATGCTCATGTGAACAGAAATTATTTCAGTTTGAAAACTAAACAAGATTTTTCAGAGTTAAGTTCCTCTTAATGAGCATATACGAGGTTTCATCTCTGAACAGGTTTATACAACTAACACATTTTAACTCAGAAGAAAAACTGAGCTCTGTCTGTTGCTACAATGGTTTCAAAATAAGATCAGTGCTGTGGGGAGAAATCTGACTTGGTGTCTGTGTATGTGGATGTTACAGTAAACAGGTTACTACAGAGTGTGTTAACACATCATCTGATTCCCTCCTAAGGCTGATTTCAATGAATAACAAGGATCCCAGTGTGAATTTAAACACTAATGTCAAGTCTGCCTAGAGTTGATGACAGACTGCACAAGGCAAAATAGTTTCTAGCTATTGCTAGTAAATTTACTTATCTCACAGAAATAAACAGAAACTATTAATTGAGCAGTAGAGCATTATCTTCAAATGCATAATATCATTTGAAGGTAAGAACATAAGGAACAAAAACGGCACAGACGACATATGCAAATTTGGTGCAAGTCACCTTGTTTGCAGGGAAAATAGAAAGTCTAGAAAGTCTGAATAACAATGCAGTTCTTTCAAACTGTCACTCATCTCTCCATGGGTTCGCCTGCAGCTGAGAGAGGTAGGTACGTCTCGGGCCTACTCTTTCCTCTTCAAGCTGCTGCAGCAGCTCCAGGAGAGAGCCGTTCCACACTTGTCAGCAATGAAGAGTTATTCTATGTGTTGGTGGGGGGCTCAGGGCCATTAGCTCATTTAAGGTGGGACTGCCAGGTGAGCCTGTGTTTTCAAAGCCAGGGTAATTACCAGGGAGCAGTAGAGGTATGAGCTTCCCCTCAGGGCTAGACCGGCCTCTCTAGCCCCCTCACCTGAGACTGTGTGTGTCCACCAGTGTGTGTGTATGCACGTTAGCGAGTGCAGGCAAGGGTTTGTGTTTGTGTGCGTTGGTAGGTGTCCCGCTAATGAATGTTCTGAGTCATGCTGACACTGAGCTGGGCCAAAAGGGGGACAAAGTGTAATGAGAGGTTACAATAGGCCAGACAGGAATTTCACAGTACCTTGTTGAAGCTGCGTCCAGCTGAGTCCTTCTCACTGGGCCTAAGCTCCTGCAGCTGAGCATCCAGGATGTCCACGAGCTGCTCCATCAGGCGCACCGAGGAGCTGACATCTCCGGCAAACACTGGGCCCTGTGTGTGGCGTGCCAGCTCATTGGCCAAATTAGCAGCATTTTCACCACTTCGAATCTAAAAACAGCAACAAGGAAAACATGGTGGGGGGGTGTGTGGTCAGTGAAGCGGGCCTGAGATGATGGCTCTGCGATGGGAAGCTGAAATAATGTATCCCACATACACCTCAGTCATAATTCACCGCAACAGCACAGCTTGTTCAGAGGGAAAAAGTCATTATGTGCAGAAATAATGTGAGAACAGGGTTTTGCATGTTTAGCAGGGGACACAATAGACAACTGGGATGCAGGCTTAAGAAGAAAAAAAAACAACACTACTTGGAAGTAATGATAAGATGCCAGTGTGTGTACTATCATCTGTGATCAGTGTAATCCAGCACTGATGATAAGTGCTCTAATTTTTGGCTGCACCCACTCACCACCAATCTGCCATGACCGAACCATGACCCAATTTCACACCACATACTAATTTTACACAGTACATAAGATACCAGTCTTCATTGTATGATGCCTCTGCAGTTAATATACAAGGAATCCACGCCCATTTTTTACGTAGAGGAAATGAAGATGCAGAGACAACAATCACAATGCGACTTCAGGATGCCACTGTCAATTAAACCCTACATACAGCGAGCTGATCGAGCATTCACTTCATATCATACAGATCATAATTACGAGTGGCTGAGTGGGAAGCCAATGTTTGTACAATTCGACCTCCAAGGTGCAATTCAGAGACGGATATATCTGGAATTTCTCACAGCTACAATATTTCCCACTTGGCAAGAAGAAAATACACAAACATGTGCGAACAAACCTGGGGCACAATGGCTCCAAAACTACAACCAACGGCAACTGAATTAACACAAAATCCAATATCAACACTAATTCAATCAGCTAAGCTAATTACACACAGTTTTATCTGGTTTCTCTTATTAATGAGCAAATATGCAAGAATTAAAAAAAATACCTCACTACGGATCCAATTACTTCTGTGTCACTATAATGGGTGTAAGAAACTTGGAATAATGCCTGAACAATACTAAACTGGAAAAACCACAATATGATACGGGAACAGCGTGAAAGGGTTTTTCTAAAACCTGAATAAATGTTTGGGGTTTTCTGTGTTTTTTACGCATTGTCGTTTTGGAGAGACCAATCAAACACTAAGCAGATTTGATCTGCATACAGATTTTTTTGAGCATACGAAATTCTATCACATTTTAAACAGAACATGATGAAAAACCATCTCAGAATTAGCAGCGCTGCATGGAATTAGGCTCCTTCATTCATCATTTCTGCATTTCTCTAAATGCCTATTGACAATACCCATGAACTCTGCATGAACCCGCTGCATTGAGGAGGTGTTTCTCCAGCGTTCTGCATGACGCTACAGTCTGTGCCTGCTACTAAAACTCTCTGCATTAGATTTGTACCTGCAGTACTGTGGACAGTAGCAGGAAATGACTGATTTTGTGAGTCAAGGTAACTAACTGCAGTACTTCACATTTACTCCTGAAGTTTAGACAGCTCCTTTCTTTCTGCTACCACACTGCATCACAACACTTTGTTTCAGTGACTGACCATTTCTCTGCTGGAATAATAAAAATACACCAAGGAAATGGGTCAAAAGCTGTGACACGGGCCTTTGTTTTGGCTGCATAACGCACTTGTTTCCTGCTATATTGTGTAAATGATACATTGCCGGCTCACCTTTTGTGCCACTTGAGTTACCCAGTGGGAAGTGCAGTTGCTGAGGTCCGGCCCTTTGGAGCACCAGGTCCCTGCCACAGTGCAGAGGAAGGAGGCGATGCCTGCAGTACCACAGAGTAAACACAGCCGTTGGAGGGAAGCCAAAGCCAGACTCACAAAAAGCTTTCTCCTGCTGAGTCGTCATTCAAACACACTCTGTCACTGGAAACTGACTGTTTGGCACCAGCAATAATATACAAACAATTTCAAAGCCTGAAAGTTTAAAAAAAAAAAAAAAAAAAGGATACTAAAAGAATATCAGGTTCCAACAGAAACAGTAGGCACTGCTTTGTTATTGTCATTAAATAATTCACAACTGTAAACATTTCATATTTTCTCATACTTATCGTATCTAAATAAATAAGTTAAACTCCTAATGAGTAATTTTACACACATAATACGCTTAGATTTCTCTTCCTTTTTTTCACCCTCACAGAGAAAACACTGTCTTCTACTTTGCTTTCATCCTCCAGTATCCCTGCTTTGTGTTTTGACAGCGCTGTCACTCTGTGTGATAGGGTGTTAAGGTAACTTGTGAGAGATTCCTGTGTGAGTATCATTGTCAACTGAACTGTCATAACGACCATCAGCACAACGTCCTCACTGTTGATTTCCTATTCTCCTCCAGGAGGGATTTCAACTGCAACTGTGTTGTCCGGATTTGGTTAAGACAATTAGTCGACAGTGGATTTTTGGTGTTTTTATGGTATTTTAGAACTTCCCAAATGCCGTCAATCATTTTCATTAGTTCCTCTGATGCCGTGTTATGCTTTATTTTTCAGGATGAAATTGGTTTCAAAATTACCCACAGGAACAATCGACCCTGTGCCATTATATTTAAAAAAATTGCTTTTGACCTTAGGCTCTAATCATGCTATTGTGATGGCCCAAGAGATTCTCGTTTGGTATTTGACATGCCCTCTAGCTGAAGTGTCAAAGACTCAGTACATATAAGCAAAGATGGGAACAGCACATTAAAACCCCTCAGTGAGAAAAAGTACAGTAGCAGCTACGTTCAGAATCTTTGAAGCTTTGTTTCTGATCATTTGTATGCTGTCAGTGTGCTTTTGACTGGAATACTTGATTGTTAATGGGGAAAAAAAAGGCTAAACCTGTTTACACCCTGCAGAGTAACACTAGATTATCCAAGATGGTTAAAAATAGCTAGAAAAAATAACAGTAAAAAAAACGATAGCCTTGTAACTTTTGGTTGTTGTTCAAAAATTGCTCTTTCAACTATATGGGAATATTTGAGGAAACAGTTTGTGCTGGTGTTGTGTTGGATTGCACCAAGATACGACTTCGGGTTATTATGTGTTGTGCACCTTTCAACACCACGGATGCTATGAACACATCATTTTTGTTTCCTGGTATGTTACGAAGGAGGGAGTATGTCTCCTTGTTATGGGAAATAATGAGTGCACTTAATAGGGATTTTCTTTTTATAAGCATTTGGACATCACTACAAAATGACGAATTCACCATATAGTGAACTATATAAAGATTAGTGAGTGATTTCAGACACAGCCTTTGTCTCTTCTTGAAAGAGCAGCCAGTATCAAACTAAAACTACAGCTAAAGCCAATAGTTGGTTAGCTAAGCACAGTCCCACCAGATGGTGGCCTACCTCTGGTCCCTTTGGGGCAGGGCCTCTCCACAGTGGTCCCAGTGTGGGTCTGGGGCCAGTCGATGGCCCTCCTCCTGGTCGCCTCGCAGAAGCGTCTGGGTGTTGGCGGCAGCTCGGGGACAGTGGGCTCAGCTGTACTCGATCCACGACCGTCCTCAAACGGATCTCTTCCATCTCTTGGATCTGCACCTGCCACTGTAGTGTCACCATGGCCCTTAAGTGTGGACGCAGCGGTGGTGGTGAAAACTGTGGTGGTCTTTGGCATGGATGATGCGACGGAGAAATCTTCAATGGTTGGCCCTTGAGTGAGAGAAGAATAAAGCTTTTAGAGCTCAAGTCATAAACGTCCTTGTCTTGAACTCATGCCCTGTTTTCGCTGTGGGGAAACTGCAACTACTTTGACTCCTGTGGCTTGTTATTTGTTACGAGAGCAACTGCTAGTCATAATACCTGGAAAGGAAAAGCTTCATGCTGCTTTCACTTGCAATTTCCCCTCTTTTCTGGTCTTTAGCTGTACAAAATCAAGGCAAACCTGCCAATGTGTCTCTATCTGTCTCTCTCTATTCTTAGTTTACTTCAGAAAAGCAGTGGTGCTCGGGCATTCTCTGACAGAGCAGTGATTTCTTCCCAACAGAGTCAGTACCTTGGGCTGATTAAATGTCAACAATCAAGACAAAGCCTGCCTGCATTTTACTTATTTTTCTGCCTAGTTCATCTCTCTCACTTTGATAAAGCTGGTGTGCAGAAGGAAAACTGCATCGCCCCAAACAGAAACCATACATCAGCGATAACACAACCCTGCTGTATTCAATTCGCACCGACCCTGCAAAGCAAATCTATGTTTGAATGAGCACAAGCTCATGATCAAGTGCATTTGTGTTTTCTCCATCGCTCAAGTGCGCTCAAGCTTCAAAACTCTGTGAGTGTAGATGGATGTCTGCTGAGAGAGCCTGGATAGAAGTAGGAAATGAAAGCAGAAATAGGAAATCTATACGTTTTATACAGTGTGAATTGCCAATATGAATAAAATGAAATGTCTACGTGGATATACAAGGCTACTTGTCTCCCGCATGAATGATCTTACATTTTTACTGACAACCACCTGATTGTATTTGGAGATAAAAGCACCTTCCCACAATGAGGTCTGCCGTTATGAAAGGCACTACAGTGTTGTCCTCAGCTTCCCCGGGTGCTTCTGGGAAAAATGCAATATCATGCTATCTGACACTCCATCATCAAACACATATCTCCATTTCCTGAGAGAGAATGGTGACAAAGTCCACATTTCACATTGCGCACTCATCAGTCATTCAGGGAAATCTTGGAGGTTTTTTTTATTCCAGTGAAACATCTGGGTTTATTACAGAGCTGATATGCGGTGGTGTGGGCAGGAGGCCTCGGCAGGGAGGGAACAAGGATCCTGTTATGGTCACTGAAGAAAAAATGCAAACCTTCAAACCAACCTGCACTGCAGCTGAATTGTGACATTTTACTCAGTGACCTTTTCCACTGGCAGGAAGCCCTGGCTAATTACCTACTTATTCTGTCATTGTGTTTCTTTCACCTACATTTTCACAGGTTGGCTCGGACAGCGTGGCTGCGAAAGTAAGAGCTAACACGTACGGGACTTGGGCGGATGATCAGAAAGCCTTGGTTAGCACCCACCATCTTTCTCTTTTTACTTTTTTTTGGAAGATATAGAATCAATTTAATTAAAAAGAAAAAGACAAATAACCCTGACCAGGCTACAACAACAGTACAACACTGCGACTACAAAAAGAAGGTTAAAAAATATTCCTGCAAATATATTACGTATTAGAGGTGAAGATTTTATATTGACTCTGGGAAAGTGACATGATTCATAGGCTGACTCTGTTAATTCAATATTTGTATATAATGCAATGCGAGGGTGAGTGGAATTGGTTTTCAGATTATTAAACTTCTCTGAGCAAACTTTTGCTTTTCCACATGCTAATATAAAAACCTAATGTGCTTGCATCACCTGATTAACCTGCTCCTGAGATCATAGTAATCCAGCTCAAGCACCTATACACATTTCCTCAAATTATCATAAATTCATAAATTATCACAATTTCATCACAAAAGTTTAGTTCAGTTTGGACGTTTGTTTTTCTTTCATGGTTCTTTATCCATCGAGGCATATTTGATTTGATTTTAACTGTATATATATATATGATTCAATCAATTTGGAGAAGGTGTTAAATATATATACAAACAGTATATATTTGTGTGTGTGTTTGTTTGCCAGAAGAATATAAATAAATGAATAAATGTTTAGGACGGATCACCAGGAAACTTGGAATGATGCGTTGTCATTAGGTTTTTGTTTTTTTTATTACTTTTCGCTAATACCGTGATTATTATTTATTACTGATTTTTGTGTACAATTTGGTGCAGTTTGATTTAAAAAAACATCCAATGGCCCTAAATAGTTATCTATTCTATATATCTCGATCACTATTTTAAAGGGTATTGAATTTACTTGTTGAACCAGAGCAAAGAATGAAACCGGAGATTTTAAAGCTTTTTTTTTAGTATTTACTTGTTTTCTAAATTGCTTCTTATGACTGATGGGAATTCCAACATGAAAACACAATTACCTGCAAAACTGTAAGTTGTGGTTTTTTCACACGAGAGAGAAGTTCTTTTTGTCTGTGTACTTGAGTCTTGGAAAATGTTGCATATCATGGGCTCATTAATGAGATTAATTGATAAGGAAATGAATCAACGCTTGCTGCCCTAATTCCCTTGATCACTCACAAACCCCAACGGAGAGAAGGGCTTAGAAACATTGAGACAACACACAGAATTTTAGTTTGTGAAAGAAGGACTGAGATATTTCGCACTGTGGGACAATTGGTCACTGTGTCTTGGATGTTCACGCTTTCAGGCAGAATGGTGGAATTATATCGTGTTAATTAGCAGACACTCAGATGTCGCCTGAGTGATTTTTTTTTCCTAATCAAAGACAAGATAAAATCTTTGTGCATGTTTATAGTCAGCGTGTCTCGGGCTCCACATCAGAGAGTGATTGTGACTAACATCAAGAACATCAAATACACAACATATCTTTTCAATACTACATCAAGTAATGTGCTTGTCAGATGCATCTGTGGGCTTATTTTGATGTCTCTGTACCATGCGCTACAATTTTCTTTTGATGGCGGAGAGAAAATTCCCCTCCAGTGAGAGTGTGTCCTCCGATAGCACTGTGAGAGGGCTGCACCAATTAGCTGCCATTTCTCTCAAGAGGCTGTGAAGTCACTCTTTATGGGCAATCTGACACCGAAGGCATACTGTCGCCATATGCTGAATAATACCTCCTTGTAAATAATGGAAGAGTTTGAGATTGAACACTTGACAAACGGCTGTCACGAGTCTAAACAGAGCACGTAAATTAAAACAGAGCTAAATAGGAACGAAAGCCATTATGGAGGATCATCAATCAAGACATGAAGATGAGGCAGGATTAGTTTTATCACTTTATTGCCCCCCGGAGTCATTTACATATCAACGAGGATGATGACAAAAAATATTAAACCATAATCAGATGATAACAAGCTTTGATATTCTGTTCGTCCTTGTTTTTATACATTACACTGCTACACTTTTTGAAAAAAAATCTCACATTACACATATCTACCTGTCAACACAAACTCTAGGATGAATGGATCATAAGCCACCTAATACCTAATATTAGGGACGTGTAATGACAGCTGGCAGCCAAATATAAGCTGTTTTAATTGGTTTAAATTCTGGAGATGAATCACCTACAAGGCTAATCCTCCCAGTACAATAACAAATAGTCATATTTAGTTGTAAGGAAATATGCAGCGCTCGGTTAAAAAGCAGGGATCCATTTCGACAGCATTTGAAATGACAAGAAAATGAGATGAATGGTGCAAGAAGAGTAAACACACCATATGGTACTGCAACTGTAAGGCTTGCAGCTGGTGTGCTGAGCAGAAAGAATGAAAACACGGAGAAACTGCTTCTTCTAAAAGTTCAGAAATATGCCAGTAAAACTTGTCTGTTTAATCCCTGAGTGTAAAAACATTGATTTATTGTTTTATGGTGGGTTATGTGGGTCACATGACTTCAAGATCGAGCAAGAAGGGAAATGGTGAGAACCGCATAACACAAGCTGTCTTTGAAAAATTGCTAAAATCTTTGTCTAAAATGAGATAATGCAGTAATTAAGACTACTAAAATATAAAAACTATAATGATGGGAGACAAAGACCGAGATAAAATAGAACCTTTTCCATACAAACAACACTGGCAACACAAGTTTGAGTTAATCTAATTTTGGATTGTGAAATGTCTTCGTCGGTCACCAAACTAAAGGTGTCCAGCTGCTCTGTTGTGTAGACGATAGACCTCAATACTTGCCTGTAATTATCAGACAACACAGATAATGTTCAATAATCAATCCTGAGAGAAATAATCCGCTGATTTAAAAAAAAACAAAGTCAACAATGTCAGATGGCAAAACACTAACAAGTCAGTTTGCTGGAGTAATTGGCCAGTGATGCAAAGTGCATTTACTCACATACCATGCTTATGTGTACTATGTACTATGCAATTAAAGTTTTGATGTACTTGTACTGCACTTTCTGAACTACATTTCTTCAACAGCTGGAGTTACTTTAACTTTACTGCACAATGTAGAAACCTCCATCTTTCTTAGTGACCCTTGTCTAATATTGAGCTATAAAAGTTTTATTTTCTTAAAACAAGTTAATACAAGTCAGCTGGTTATAGGACATTTGCCGTTTGATTTGAATCTACTTGTTTCTACGTTGGACTTTTACTTTTGGTGGCACTTAATGTACATTTTAATGATAATACTTTTTCTGAAAGTTTGAGTTCAGGGTTTTACTGCAAGTTAATTGTCATTTTTACCCAATGGATGAGCAAATCTAAGAAACAGCTTCAAACCTTTAATCAGACTAACAGGCAATGCTAATGAGGCTTTATATACAGTACCTGTGCCGTGTGCCGTGCCCATGTGTCTTCATTGTGTCTTTATTCATTGAGTTTAACTCACTAACAAGACTGTCTCCGAGGAGAACTGAGTAAGAGCTACAGTTAGTCTTTTCTCCTCTGTACCTAGAGCCAGTGCTGGTAATTAATGACAGGGAAATAAATCCCACAAGACATGAATTTTACATAAGGCTGTTTATCTGCTTCATTCAAGCCTACATGACGGGAGCACACAGCTCGGCATGCAAGGCAAAGGGGCACGAGATGATTTTCTCTAGTTTCTGATCCAACGCTGAGGACTACTTGATCATTATTCCTGCTAAATGAAAAACACAAGTTGTTGTGAAATTGTTTGCAGGCCTCGCTGCTTTACTGACAGTTGTTCTTAAAAGAGCAGCAGACAGAAAAAACTCTCAGCCGGACATATCCTGTGTCTGTGTGGGGGTAATTCATGAGACCTGAAACTGAATACTGTGGAGCAGCCGACGTAGCGCAGTCACAACTAGACAGTCTGAGTCAGAGGGAGGTGGCAAAGCTGTAAAGACACGAGCATGAAGACAGGAAAATATATGTGCCGACAGAAACACGCTGTAAGCGAAAAGACCAAAACTCCCTGTCATACACGGCTGTAAAGTCCGCTTAAACAATTTCCTGCCATAATTCAGCAAGAGGGCCAATTAGAGCTCCTCCAAATCTTCTGCTTTGCTTCAGCCTTTATTTCTGTTGCTCAACATCATGCTTCAGAGGGTGGAACACAGGCTTAGTAAATGATACATCTATAAATGTCCCTCGTCTTGAATGCTAACCTGGAGGCGTCGTTCTGGGATATAAAAGCAAACCCAAGTGCAGCGAGGTGCACAGCTGGGTTTAGCCATAAAATGGCTGAGCAGAAAAAAAGAAAACATCAGCTTTGTGATGATAGATAGTGTATGTGTGGCATGCGGGATATGAAATAGCATTTTATCCCTGACATTTCACTCCAGAGTGGAGTCCACTTGTGCTCACTGCTAGATACCAGATTTTTGAAAGTGGCTCTGCCTTTCGGACAAAGCCATTAATTTTATGCCTCTCGTCTTTATGGTCTCAGATCAATTCCACCTCAAACGGAAATTAATTTTCTCCTTTCTCTCCTTGTTAGTCTGAAATGCTCTCTGCAATTACGACTCTTCTGATTGTTTCTTTTTCTGAATTCATTGGACTGAAATCCATTAATGTCTTTGCACATCACAGAGAATGCATTACCTTTGTCCCTCTATGTTTTTGCAGTTGTGAGCACCTAGGTGTGCTTTTTATTGGCATGTGCCTCTTTCAGAGAGACCTCTGAGGAGGCGGACTCTTTAAATATTGATCATTGCTGTTTTGTGTTCACAATGCATTAGCAGAGCAGAGACGTTTTCTTTAAACGCGTGTGAACTGTTTGGAACAATAAGCGGAGAGATCAATATGGGGAATGCTCTCAGCTAATCACTTCAAGCATGGCCAGAATTAAAAAAACCCACAGTGTGGCAAACCCTATATGCGAAGTAAAGGAATTGCAGACAACTTGCTAAGGTCAATTATGTTCTGCTTTGATCACTTTGCAAAAACTCTCCTAATATAAACTCCTAATCCTGCTGGCACCCCAGCGCCTCTTTGGGATGAGCATTACAACCAAGGTTGATGCTTCTGACAGAAAAGGACACTGACACTTCTCGTGTTACACTAGTTCTACAAAGCAGAGAAATATACTGGGTTTGGTGTTTGAGGTAACTTCACTCTGCGGTCGATGAATCTTAATGGGAACAATTAATTTCCTTTACGCCTCAAGTGCCCCTCAGTTTCAGAGAGGGAGACATTATTTCAGCACCATTAGATTACCCTGCAGAATAGGTTGTTTAATTCAACGCCATATCATGGGCAGCGATAAATCCTAATAGCTACACAGCAAAGAAGTTAAAGGTGTAGGTCTGAAAAAAACTAATAAAGAAGATCCAATTATTTTCAAGTGTCATTCACAAAAGGCCGGCGTGGCGCTGGTCGCAGCATCTCGAGATGCCTCCTCTCTCTCCTTCTTGAACTCGCAGCATTTGAAAATGTTCCAATAAAACATGGTTAATGATCCACGGTGACAAGTTCTGCTGCAAAGATTTATTTCTAAATTGGATCCTAATAAGAAAACAGTGGCAGGAAACAGGTACTTAGAATTAAGAGTAAAATCAACAACTGTTATATATTGTGTTGTGTTCCTGTTCGAGCAGCAACACTGTGCCTATGTGGTATTTATGTTTACCGAGCCATTACAGTAGCTGAGAGAGCATATTAAACCCTTCATTGAAAATGCTCTGTGATAGCCACTTCTCCCAGAGCCTCCTTTAAGACAAGGAGGGTAATTATGATAATTCAGCTGTTAATTACATTTACATACATCAGGACGTGAACAGTTGAGCTGGCAGTTTGCATGCATGGAGAACTCATTAGAATTGGAGTATTTTTCATATCTGCTCTAACGTACCCTTAATTGAAGCTTTGCCTGTTCTGTAAAACAGACACAAACTCTGAGCTCCCCCTTGGGTGTCGAGTTATTGCGGTTGGGAGATTCCAGGGAACGGCAGGAAAACAAACAGACGTGTTGACAAGAGGGCAGAGTTCAGGAGCACACAGACTCCATTGAGACATCAACACCGACCCCCCTTCAACAGCTCAGGTCAAGAATCAGATTTCCCCCCTGGCAAACCCCCTCCCGAATATTCAGAAGTTAAAAATCATAACCTAATCCGGACCAGTGCTCAGGGGCAACCCGAGCCTCTGAAAGTCAGGTCACGCTCCTTGTTTCCCCACTTGATAAAGGAGACTTAGCCTGGCTCTGTGGGATAAGGTGGCTGCAGTCAGGTAATTAAGCCCATTATCAGCTTGATGTAAGGTCACTGTGTGATGACACGTATGTCACCTCTCAGCACTACACCGATTAATTTAAGCCACTAAACGCCTGACAAGATTCTTCACTGTAATTTATCTCCTACCTGTCATTCTCCTACTCTAATTCCCCATGTGCCATATAAGTCATTCACTCTTTATCCTGGTGGTTTTACAAATGTTTATCACACCACAATAGAATGGCGATTATCTCCTGATCATTTTCAAAAAATGGCTTCTGCGAGGTTGCTGAGGTAGCCATGGCAACACAACTCGAAATCCCACAGTAAGCATGAGCGGATAACCTCTGTCACACTGTGCACAATACTTCTCCAACGTATTCCCAGCATTAGGGGAAAGTTCGGGAGGGCAGTGTTCATAATGGTTTTGAATAAGGCCCGAGATTAAAGAATTTGATAGGGTCCAAGATTCAGCTGGAGTGAGTGCCTCTGCTTCCCTCATGGTAATAAAGAAGCAGATTTTTTTGCACTGCTGCAATGCCACTGGGACCTATCCCTCATTCCAAGGTGAATCTGTAATTTCTGTCTGCAAATGAGCCCTTTCCCCAAGACTAACACAACCCTCTTTCCTTTATCACACCTGAATTGCAACCAAAATTAAAAGGCAGCCATCTGTGACATCCCACGTTGCAGCCAAACAAGAGAAGAATAACACAAAGACAATGAGCTAAAGAAAATGGAGCAGCTCTCACCTTCGGCGGGATCCGGCGGCTTGAAGTCCAGGTCGTAGCGCAGGATGTAAAAGTTATTCCACACGTACAGCTGGTTGTCCCTGGGGTTGTAATCCACAGCGGTGATGTACTGGTACTGGTTGGGGAAGAGGATGTCGGTGTATTCGCCGTGGCTCAGCTTGGTGTTGTATGTGTAATCGATTTGGCTCCTGCTCGCCTCGCTCTCGTTCTCTTCGTAGGTTGAGCGCACCACGTGCAGCACGCCGCACACCATGAAGGCGTTCGAGGCAGAGCGCTTGTCGTATGCCGTATCCCACGTGGCCTCAAAGCGAAGCGTGTACGGGTTGAGCTGGCTCACCACAATGCGTCCATTGTTCTGTTCAGTGGCATAGATTACCCATAAACCCCTCTCATCTACTGCCAGGTCAATGTCTGTCTTGCCACCCCAGCGGTAGGGTGAGGTGTCGTGATAGTTGGCGTTGTTAACAATTGCTTCGCCACTTTTGATGCGTGTGCGCAGGTCGAACTTGACGATGTTGCGGGTGCGTTCCTTATTGAAGAAGATAGCGCCGTCGTAAGCTACGAAGCCTGTCCCATCCACACGGTGCGGCAGTTTATACGTGGTCGTCTGGCGACCATTTTTGAAGTCCTCCAGAGAGGCGTACTCGATTAGGGTGTCAGTGCGGTATGGTGTCCAGGGCATGAAGAAGACTTTGTCTCCAGCCTGCAGAGGGTCTTTGCACCACGACCCCGCCTGCTGCTCTGCCTCGAACAAGTAGGTGGCCTCTCCTACACCCTTCAGAGTCCCAGGACAAATGAAAACTAGTGACAGAAAGAGAGTGAAACAAAATACAATAAGGCCAAAAGTTAAACAAATACTGTGCATGACACATTTGACATGCATCATTCTCGCTGCTGTACAACTCAAGATCAGGGACTGTGAATTTGGAGGAATACTTTAACTAGTGCTTGTGTTACTACCGCTAATGAAAAGGGGGGGGGAAAGAAACCAAATGAATGTGTCATAGTGATTATTTCAGAATGATAAATGTGACGTTAAGAGAACTTGCATCTCAAGGGTCTGCTGCTACATCCTAACAGAGACGAAATAAAATGAGAACCGAAAAAAAAAATTCCTGCAAATGAAAGACATGGGAAATGGGAGAAGTAGAGTTCACAAGTTGTTTTTTTTTCTAATACCAGCATGTCCCTGTCGTCAAATGCCACATGAACAACTGGGAATATGGAGACACTGCACATGCATAATCACACGACTGAGGTCATAAACCAAAATGGTAAGGGAACCGACTTCACATCTTGTGATAAGAGTGAACAACAGGTTGTCAAATGGTGGTGGTGGCAGCAAAGCAGAGGGAAAATGAAAGTGGAGGTTTTGGGAATAGATCGAACAGTGCTGAAGGATTTTTGCTACTTCTGTGGCAAATAAACAAGAGTAACCACTGATGGGTGAGGGAGGCCATGGCAAGGTTCCCATTTTGATAGTTTTATAATAATTGGTTCTGGATAAAAAAGGAACACAGTGAATTGTTTTCTTTTCAAACTTTTTTTCTCAGTCTGTGCCAATCTCACTCAACCATCACTGCTATTTCACATCACGTGCTATGGGTGCAGTGGAAATTGGGCCAAGCAATCTACAAACTGAGCCAACTAAGAATATATACACACAACTAGTCATTCTTCAAGGGTTAATACAGTGCTAAGCAAGAGTCCCTGGAACAAATCAACACCGAACAGTTGGTGTTTTCTTTCACGTTGTTGGGAGGGGGATGAGCGTGGATGTCATTTGAAATTCTGTTTTGGAATTCATTTGGACTCCATGGGTGCAAACAATCCTCCTATGGGTTTAGCATTTGACAGGAGAGGCAATCAGGAGGGGGGGGGGGGGAAGACGTGAGGGGAGCTGTACTCAACACCACAGAACAAGGAGCTGAAGGAGGGGGAGGGAGGGACCAGACCACTCATTTACCTTTTTGCTCCACTTCTATTTCAGGCATTGGAAAAGAAAGCGAAAAAAGAGTGCAAAAGGGAGAGAAAGGTTATCATGAGACAACTACCAGGTACAAAGAGGAGAATTAGTCGGAGGATATGACCGTGAGGTGAACTGCGGTGCTGCTTTGAGAAGAGGAGCTGGAGGAAAGAGAGGGATGTTTGTTAGTGAAATGGCCTCTCGTCCTAGGATCCAAAACAGGAGAGTTATAACTTGAGAAGAGCAAAGTGTCATGCTTCTCAGCGTGTTAAAACTTTTCATTCCTGCGGTCATTAACTGCCAACAAAATAATGCATCGACCACCCGAAAGCAGAATAAATCCCTCTAAAAATGCATCTGCTAAGTGGAGGGAGAGAGAGAAAAAAAAATCTGAAAGTCCTGGTCATACTTCAATGGATTAGAGTTATTTTTGGCTTGTATTGACTGAGGGTGGAGTTTGTTCGAACTTCATAAACACAAATCCAAACTCGATTCCAAACTCGCTCGCCCACACACGATAAACATGACACGGTGCTAATATTACAGACCAGAACTCAACTTGAATGAGCCAACGAGAGCAACAGCACATTAGATGATGGATGAACAGTCGCTCTAATATGCAGGTTTTTTTTTTTAGGCATGTTGAAGCTGCGTACACAGGGTGGAGGGAGAGGGGGGGATCTCTGAAAGATTGGAAGCTAAAAAAAAAACGAGAGCCAAGAGGTTAGTGGGGGGAAGGGAGGCAGGAGGTAAAAGGGAGGTCTGTTTGAAAGAAGAAAAAGAAGAGATGAATATTTCAGAAAATGTTTACAATTCATCAATTAAATACTAAGTGTTTTAACAGGCAGGGATGAAGGTTAGATTTGCACTCATAGACTCTAAAATACCCTTTTGAGGTAGACTAACTCAAATCCGATTCCAGAGACATAGTTTAAAGTAGTGCCGGCTTTAAACAACTCTACAGTGCGTTTAATTAAATCATCCAAAGACGAGAGCCGCTCCATGACCGTGTGCAGAGATTTGGTTAATCTGAGAAAAAGATGCAGAATCATCTCACAGTTTAAGGATTTTAACTCCAATATCCTCTGTAATATGTTTCCACATGATATTACTGAATGTTCTGTACTGATGTGAGACCAATAATGCACTTCTTTCTCTATAATCTCCATTTTTATCTCAGCAAAACACTATAAATCTGTAGTTAATGCAATTAGAACCATTCAGAGAGTAAATTCACCCAAATTACACAGATCCCAGTTCCCCCTGGTCATCACTAGACACGCATATAGTTTTGGTTTTAAGAAATATCTAAGATTTCTTTCTTTCTTTCTTTCACCAAGCAAATACAATAGATGTTAAAAGAATGTTGTTTGAGGTGCTCACAGCAGAGAAAACTAACATTTTTACAGGGATCACATCTTCTGCAGAGTATAGTTCCAGTGGAAACTGCTCGCAGCGAAGTCTGTAGAGTAACACAAGCTCGGTTTCTGGAGAGAGATTGTACTGATGCTTTTTTAAAAATGTCATGTTTTTTCATGCTGTTAGCACCACGAGCAAAAATGCACAAACTAGCGTTGTAATGATGTGGAGGCACAAATCTCAGTTTGATGAATCTGAAAATTCTTGGGCTGAGTGCAGACACCGGCTCGGAGAGAGCACACTGACAAGACACACGTTTCATTGTAAGCCATTAGAGAAGTAACATTAATTTAGTACAAGACGATTTGTTTGCCAATCGGAAACCAAACCAAAACTGTAAAGGCATTTATCTTAAAACTTAAAAGCAAAACTAACTGAGAGGTTAGATTCCTCAAGCGGTAAGAAATGTTTTTTTTTTATAATTGGGGTGAACTGACCCTTTAAATGACTGCAACGCGTTATTTTTCAACATAATTTCTAATTAACAATGCTAAAGTGTTCTTCCAAATACTCCCACGAGTTGAAGTGTCATCTGTAAAACAAAGGTATTCAGTGTATTTGCAGAGGCTGCAGTTATAGCACATATCTGTCTATTCTACAGACACTTCATTAACAGACAGTGAGAGTTCAGTGTGTGATTAGGATGGCGATACTTACTATAGGGAACACACTCATACTGGACCTCTAAGTACTTGTAGGTGCCAGGGCATGGATCAGGAAAGACATCAGAGCCAGTGACAACCACACACTGCGTACGGTTGTTGCACCTAGAAAAGATTGACCAGAGATTTCATCATGACTACCCACAGCAAGGGTGCTCGACAAAGACAACATTAATAACACACAGGGCGGGAAAAGTTCATCGTTATGGCTACAATGAAATTGATGAAATCCCGGCCGGGCCTGTCACATATGCATTCTAGTTTAAACCTTGGTAAACAGAGAGAGGAATGAAAATATTAAGGCAGCGTAAATGGATGTGCGTGGGAATGATAATGATTAACCGAATGAGAGAGCAGCTAAAGGCATGTTAGGAATTAGCGATGGTATTTCCTTTAACAGCGTCCTTATGCCGCTATTGAAAGGGAAGACATTCATTAAAACACACTACAGGTGGCGGTGGCATGACTGGACTGGAATGAGTGACCTCCGCTGAAACGGAGCAGCTCCGCTGCATGTACACGACAGAAGCGGTGTGAATGGGTCGTTTCAATGAAGTCATTAGTCTTTTCCTGTATGAAATGATTTCCCTCAGCAATTGAGCAGTCTGATATTTGAACTGGAAAGTCACAGCGTGTGCATTTGTGTGTCTGCAGATGTTTCAGGGTGCATAAAAAAAGTTCAAGTAAAGAGGGAGAGGGGGGGAAGGAAAGCAGAGGACTGAGTTTGTGTAAATACTGTATACGGTGAAATTGGCTTCACTTCAATCAAGCTCTCTCAAGGCCGAGGGATTGAGGATAAAGTCAGCAGAAGCAAACAAGAAAAAAACTGGCACCAAAATAGGACATTCAACAATTTGCAAGCTTGAGATAAATATTTCAGAAGGTCAGTAGCAGTCATGCAAGTTGGACATATATTTTAACATCGGACATGACATTCAAAGAAACATTAGTAATTTAAGAGGCTTTCTGTGGCTGCCAAATGGGTTCGTGCTTCACAACAACAACATCGAACCTCGTCTGCGTACTTTGCGTAACCATGCAGGTTTTTAAGGTAAAGAATAAAAAGGGAAATGTACTGTATGTGCATTAAGCAGAGCTACATTCAAAATCCTGCTTTGCATTTTAGTGACAAAAACCCATCCTTTGCAACTAATGGATTATTTCCCATTAAATATGAATAAAAAGGTGCAGAGCCCATTATGAAGTTAACAAATAGCATTAGCATCATCAGTGATGGTTTAAGCATCACTGACAATAGGGTGTCAGCTGCACTTAAGAGATTCTCCGTTATGGCTTCACTACAGTCAGAGCTGCTGCGAGGGAGGCGGGTCACTGCATGAACATGTGAACCGACTGACACCAGATGAGAGCATCGCTTAAAATGCACGGAGAGAGATGCTATTTCATTATTTGATTTAATATTTTTAGAGTTTATACGTCTGACGGACACTAGTCCCCAGTCATGGAAAATACATTTACTCAAGTACTGTACTCATGAATAATTTTGAGATACCTGTCGCTCACTTTAATATTTCATTTTATCCCAGTTTGTGCTTCTACTCACGTCATTTCTGACGACAACAATGTTCTCTGCCCCACTACATCTCCCTGACAGTTATAGTTACATTTAACATACAAGCCATTGTATTGACTACATTGTCATGGAGTACCCAAGTGTATTGTAAGTATATAAAATTAGCTTCACACCTCGCAATACAATATTAAAGTACTGCTTCCAGGCATCTGTAACAATAATCCAATAAGGAATTGCATAGAATAATATACTTTGAAGCGGTAGCAGTACAGTATGTATAGTAAACTTTAGTACAGTACCCTTATAGTTTGACTTCAGTAATTTTATTTTTACATAGTATTTCCTTTTACTTAAACCTGAATTAACTCAACCTTTGGGCTCTTGGGGGAAGCATAACAAGCTGTGAACATAACGGCAAAGTGCTGTGTTGTTGTTACGGCTAACGTGTTAGTTTGGAGTTAGTGCTCGGTTGGAAGTGTCACTTTTGATTACACCACGTCATTTGATCTGCAGTAAATAAAAAGGATCTGAATACTCTGCAGATTTCTTCAAGATTCAAGCTGTAATGATTCACTCTGGCGTTTATTCTACTGTAATTTTCAGATGCTCCTGCCTTGGAGAAAACGGAGATGTTGTTGCTAAGCGTTTTAACACGCTGCCTCTGTTTTAAACTGCTGCTGAAATCACCGGGTGTAATCTCTACTGCACTGAGCACAATCTCAGATTCCTTCTCTTTTTTCATTTAAAAGCTGCATCTATAAACCGGTTGAAGAAGTATTCTGTTAGTTTCACTGGGTCAGGGGACAGGTTTCCATCGATATAAGGAAATGCAAGTGAGCAGAGCAATCTTATTTGGAGTTTACTGTGGGTGAATAGTTTGTGTACTGACACAAAACATTGAGGCTAGCAGAGAGAGAGACAGGTCTGACATAGAGTCCATTTACAGTCCATGTCTGAGGGCGGGGGACCACCTGAATATTAAACAGGACCAGTGACTTCAGTTGCCATCAGTTCCTCCATGCATTTTTAATCCAGCCACATTTTTGTCAACAACCAAATATTTTACTTGACAAAACACTTTGATGTAGACATTGTAGAAAATCAAGCAGCCTGATTCCAGACTGGTTGTTTTTGATGTGGAGAAACTGATTAATATTTTTTTTGTCGCAATTTCAAAACCAACAAAACTGCCACTCTGTGCGGCAGACTCCCCACTGTGCCTATCTCAGCCAATCTTGGTTAATATGTTTGTTTACTGTATCTGCCTGCAGTGCTTTTGAATTTGTTAATCTTCAAGATGTTGGCCGGGCATTGTGGTGCACTTTAAAGAAACTCCTTGTTTTAGTTTACTGCAGCCTGAAGGAAGAGTGATTGGGGTCTCCCAAAACTTTGTGACTGCTTTAACATCCCTGGTTATCACATCAACCCTAATTACGGTCAGGAATCCGCTTCCTCTGATCTGATTCATTAGAATAATTCCAATGATTAAGGGCTTGTGCTGTAGCTTGTGGTGCAGAGTCTTCTCAAAGCTTTTCGCTCGCACACTGCCTCCAGGGAATCTTCTGTGGAGATAAGTTTGAAGTGCGGCTTCAGCAAGTGAGAGTCAGTCTTGTCAACAGACGCGGTGCACAACGTAGCAGGTTGCAGTAGAACTGAAGGACACGGACACAGTCAGCGATGTGTTGCTGTATGAGTGCACTGGGACTGGGCTGTAAATTTAGAAAGACAGGGAGAGACAGCGGGGCTCGATCTTTTTTTCCGTGAGCTATTCTGTGGTGCTGCACCTCGTCATGGGAGTAAAGAAGTGAATCAAGGAGGGAAAACCCCACAGGAGTATGATGGTGGGTGATGATGCTCAGAAGTTAGCTGAAAGGCTGGGGCTATGTTAGGACAGAGCAGTGCATTAGAAGATGAACTGCACTGGTTACTATTCATGAATAGTTCATCCAGTGCCCTTCAAACACACACAGACACACACACACCTCTAGGGGCATGCAGCAGTCGAGCTGAAGTGTTGCTGTGCTGTCGTTTGACAGCGAGGCAGCATCCTGTGAGATGGTAACCGGCATAAAAGGCACGATGATGGGCATTGCTCACTACCTGAGGCAAAGTCACTTCAATTGCAGTACAAGTGTTTGAACAAAGTAAGCCCAATATTCCAGATAGGGAATTAAGAGGGTGTCTTTGTGACTCGTGTCTCTGAGCTACGCTGATTATGACTCAAACAGCAGCAACAACATGAAGCTGGTGCGAAGAGCGCTGCCACACAGACGTCTATTCCTGCCTGTCAAGAATTAATCTGTGCCCTAGTTTTCTGAATTTCAAAATGCCACCTACATAATCTAGTCAATGAAAGAAAAAAAAACGTGAAAAGGTGCGAGATGTTGATTAATTGTCCGGCGTGTGGGTGGATACAAGAGCAGGGTGATGATTTAAACATTTCTCTTTGTGTGCAGAAATGTTGGTCGCAGAGAGAAAAAAAACATACTTCTGCTCCTCAGCTCCTGGTCATGGTTTTGAAATATGATCCCTCCTCTCCCCAGTGTTTTACCTTTGTGATATAATCTTGTAGGCATCAGGGAGGTAGCAGTTGACGTTCTCCATCTGAAATGGGTCAGCGTCACAGATCTTGTCATCAGTGCGGCCGTAGTTGGCCGTCTCGATCATGATGACATCACTCCCCGGGCAGCGGAGATCAATTGCATATCCTTCACATGAGAGCTCTCTCCTGACCAACCCAAAGGGCAAGGCTGCACGGCTGAACCCTGACGTACACAGAGACGGAGAAAAATCTTGAGGCACATAAATAAAAAATTAATGAGTTAAAGGGTCACTGCTTCAAGACAATAAGGCCACACATCGTGCAGAAAAAATACACTGGTAAAAAGTAAATAGGCAGCAGCAGTCCAATGTTTACCACAGTTTTAAACAGACGGGCCATTACACGCAATACAGGAATGGTGAAAGACGAAACAATTCATCTCTCCATCTCTCTGTGGTCTTGGATGTTGGCTAAGACATCGAAATTGTAAGTCACTGGAGACCAGTGGTAACCTCATAAATTCTTGAGCAAATAGAAAAGCTACAGAGCACCAGGAAGGTCTCCACCTAGAGAACATCCACAGAGGGGCCAAACCTATGTGGACTGAGAATAGTTTGTTCTACAGTCATACATGCCCTTTCCTTTGCTTCTTTTTGCTTTACTCGCTCTGTAAAGTGAGATAGAAAAAAAAAGAATCCTGGCAGAATGGAGTGTAATATAATCTATTTTACAGTGTCTGCGATCGAAGAGGGGACTGGTCTGGAGTCCACACGGGAAAAATCTATACACGGAGCGCAGCAGATGGGAGTGCAGCCAAATAGCTCTACTTTGGGGGAAAATTACTTATTTCACACAAATCTGACCCCTAAGCAATAAAATGTCTTGTCACAGATAGATGTGGAGATTCGAAGAGAGAAAAATGTCATTAAAACCCCCAAAAGAATGAAGGAAGGAGAAATCCATTATCTGAGGTTAAAGCGATCTAAACATAAAAAAGGAGCACTGAAAATCTGGGAAAACAATTAGTGAAAATCTAAGTACAACATGCAAATGTGTTCCATTTTAGAAGTGCAAGGAGAGCGCGGCATGAACCGTCAATAATCGCCATAGTTTGGAGCAATAGTGGGTCCCTGAGGGGGCAGTAACCATTTGTATTTTCTGCACTGCTCTCTCCTAATTAGCCCTCCTTTCAGCCTGTTACCTTTTCCATGCTCCCATTGGCTCCCGAGCATTGTGATGTTCGAACACTTACCACCCTGGGTTCACTTTGCCCCCTCACTCTAATTATGCTCACACTTTTGACAGCCGGGGTCTTACGCAATTAGCATTGTTTGAACTGCTTGGAGCTGAAGTGATTCCGACTTGAAATCCGTACCCTGAAACCCCCCGACCCACATGTGTGCTAGTCATTTCAGCCCGCTGTGCCTGGCTCACTTGTATGATATTCCATGTCAGTCTGCACGTCAAAAACAGAAGACACAGAGAGCTGCGAAATACAATGTTGAAGTCATCGCCTATTAGGAGTAACGTCTGCACACACTAGTCCTGGTGGCAGTATCACAAAATAGGAAACTAATGGTATAAATTCTCTGGCACTCGGCCACAAGACATTTCATTATAATACCGTGATCTATCTAATGGCCAGTAGATTCTGCTTAGCTGGAGTGTTTATCACCTCATTAGGAGACGTCGGTGTAGCCGCACCATAAGTGGAGGGCTGTGGGGTCACTCCATCTATTCCAATAACCTGTACAATTACCTGCACCTTTCAGAAAACCTGTCCAGGGTGGTGGATGATAAAACACAGAGTGAAGTCGCCGGCTTTACTGCGAAGACTAATGATTGTTCCGCCTGCCATTCCTCATGGAGGGAGTGACGGGTTTATCACGGCAGCTAGAGAGCAGACAGAAAGAATGCATTTCATGGAGTTTTAAAATTCTGAGCAGAGAGACCGTCATTGGGCTAAAACACTCCCTTACACACACACACACACACGCCATCTGCCTCCATTACCTCCTTCTCTGGCTGTCCACTCCCAACTCTGCCCATCTATCAGCTCACTATGGCATGATGGCATGCTACTGTCAACACAGACCAAGCGATTGATTAGGATTGTGCCTCACTGGCCTCCTCCTCCCTCGCCTGCATAGATCTCTCTGGTCATAGGCTAACACTACATCAATTAGGGGGAGTATCTAGACTGTACTGGCGGCCTTAAGAACAAATTGCTTCTTCTCCAAACTGCATATAGTCTCTGTCTCATTAATGACTTTCTTGTCAGCTTGTAATTGTGCAAGTAATGACAAATCTGTCTAGAAATTTCAAATACATATATATATAAAGGAGTATTTTTATGCTGTGCAGGAGGAAGAGGAGGGGAGCTGAATTCAAGGGAATGTACTTTGGTCGGCTTAACTGGATATTGCTTGAGATCTTAGGATTGAAGCACAGCTAGGGAGGAAATACCTTGCGACAACAAAAGGTTTCTGGATGTAGGTGTTGATTTTCTGGGTTTAGACAAGTTTTGCGAGAGATCTCGGAAAGAGGGGATGATTGTTTGTGTGCACAAGTGTTAGTGTCTTAAGGAAGTATGAAAAGCTTTTCATCTCACGTTCTGTGCTTTGTTTGACTGCTCAACTTTGCAGCAGTTGAATTCTGCGACAGAAGGGCACCAGCTGCAGGGAAAACAGTGTCAAGAAAACTGGAGGGGGATATAAAGTCCACAACAAGATGCATGTGTATGAATTTGAGAAAGAAAGAAAATGAGCTGCACTCTCAGTGTCTGTACCTCAGATTAACATGAAATTACACAATCACTGAGGGAACTGAATAATGCGTTATTGAGAGCATTTAGTCAAATTGCCATGGTAACCACTTTGACTCAGTCATAATTGGCTGTGATCCCTATTCCTGGCCTTGTTGACACAGAGCCTTATCATGTATTCTGGTCAGTGAGTGACTGCGAGGAAAGTAGCTTTTCAGATTCCTCCCCCTGACCTGCCTGCTAAGCTGTCTATTGAGCTCAAGAGAGCAAAGCAGAGGCCGGGATCACTTCTCAATATGTTGCATTCTGGGAGTTTTTCTTCTGCTACCGTTGGCAGCCTTTAATTCACTCCCAACCACCACACCCCCACCCCTCCAATCCCTCATCATACATATTTTGTTTTCTATCAACACCCTTGAAATTGGAAGTGGCACTGTGGCTCAGATGGACACATCTGAAAACATTCAAGAGTTACACTTGGTGCCTTTTAAAAACCCTGGAGATGAAACAAAAAAATAATGGAGGGGTTTTTTTTGTGTTGAGATATTTGTCATTTTGTGGCTGTGCCAGACCAGTACACATATATTGGGGTTAATCTCTGCTGGGCTGTGTCCTGATCAACCTTTAACCCTAACAATTCTAAAGGACATAAAACGGTGGGAGGAAAAAAAAAAGTGGAGGAATGTTTGATCAGTGTTAAAAAGAAAAAATCTGGGCCAGTTTTGGAGGGTAGACAGAGTGGAGAGGGCTGGAACAGACAGAGAGCAAAGGCGTTGGTTGACGCTTGTCATCCTCCATTAAGGTTCCTTTGATTGGCCTTTGTGGTTCTGAAAACGGCAAACAGCTGCATGCAAATGGCCCTGTTTGCCCAAGGCTGGCCCCCATTGTTCTGGGCTTGGGTTTGACAGGGACGCTTTCTCTGCAGCATAAAGGAGGGTGTAGCCTTTAGTCAAATAAGAGTGCCCCCACCGTGGTCACAGCAGGAGTACTTCAAGATTGTTTGTCTTTTTATGTTGTTTTATTCCTTATATTACTGGTAGCCAACATCTTCGGAAGAAAGAGAAGATCTTAGAGTCAAGCTTTTCCTCCAACAGCAGGGGATGCCTCCATAATCCAATATCCGGACTGACAGAGAGGCCATATAGCATGTTCTGCTCAGGTGGAGTAAAGATTTTCAATGGGAATTTATGAAGTGGAAAAAAAGAAAAGAAAAACCATATATAATTCCAACTATAAGGAACTGCTTCATAATTTTTTCCCCCAGTCTCTTTGTTCTTTACCGCAGTATTTTCTAATCTGTTCCATGACACACTTTGATTACTGGCCAAAGGAAAAAAATGCCTAAATAATAAAATTCAAGAGACCATTGTGGTGAGGGATTTCATGTGGAAAATAAGACAATAGGACTCTTAAAATGTCTATGCACATATCTCTAAGATGACGAACTGAGCTAGATTAATTCACAGCACGCACAGTCTACAGTTCCACATCCCTAAATTTGTAAGGCGTTCAGTGCTGCAGCCTTAAAAAATGTGTGACACGTGCACTACCTGACTGCCCATCAGACGTGAGACACACAGGAGCAAGGTGGAAGATGAGAAAGGACATTTGGGATTCACAAAATAACACCTGCTATTCAAACACAGACAACACCCGAGAACTCCTCACTATGCCACAACGGCTCATATTTCATATCAACTGTCGAAGCGCGGCGAAACACTGAAAATCTACTTGGACATATGGCACCATTTCCCATGACACTTTAGTCCCTGCTCTGGTCTACCTTGCTGGGAAGTGTTTCTAAAGACAGTGTCAGACATAACCACAAACCCCAGGGCTACACCCGCCTTTCCCAGACAGCTGCTATCAGAGACTCTTGATTCCGATATAAGGATGCTAAAATAGAAACTGGCACTATAGGGCCGAGTCCATTTGTGGTTAGACAAAGCGCTCTAAGTCGTATCCATTTTCTCTTTCTGGTGATGTATGAATTCAGTGTTGCCACCTCAAATTCCAAAGCCATCATTTGTATTCATGGCAGAGGACTGTTCTGTAATTTATCTCCCGTTTATTTCATTTATTCAAAAAATGAAAGACAGTGGGCGGAGGGAATCACATGTGACAGGTTGAAGCATGTCTTGTTGAACGGGTTTAAGAGGAAACATTTGTCATATTGCTGAGACTGAGTGTGATAGACCCTGCTGCTGCCACTTAACTCCTCAGGTGGGTCCGTTGAGAGGAAGCGAGATTCTATCATGCCAGATGCAGGCATGTAATGTTTTCTCTTTTTGTAAAGCAGCGTGAATTTGAAGGGAAAATAACCTTTTTCTACCTTAGTCTCATAATTGCAGTTTCTTTAATACATTCCCCTAAAAGGTGAGTGGTTGGATTTAGTAGTTCTATTACATGTATATTTGTAAATGTTGTTCAATTTCCACTATTTCAAATAACCTATTCTT